GTTCCTATTAGAAACCCTCCAACCACATCTATATTTTGAGGCCTTTTCTGCCTCAAACGACTCCCTCCCCAACTCCTGCAGGTAACTCTCTGCCTCCCAGGGCAGCCCATTGCACAGCTAATGGAAGCTTCTAATAGGAACCTTTACATTTAAAACATAAAGCCATTCACCATGGGCTTACACGAACTCGCCAACACAGAGACACACGGGAAAGTAAATGCGCGAAGAACTGACCTGCTTCCTCTGGTACTTGTTTATCAGATTCAAAAACAAGGCGTAACAACTGGAGTAGTTGGCCAGGGCAACACAGCAGTCGCGGTAAGAGGTAAGTTTGCTGCAGAAATGCCAAACGGGAAAATAAAAATAAACTTTGTTTTTCTATAAAATGCAAGTACATGCTGTGTTACTTTAAATGCAGACCTTCAAAGCATTGCCCAGCTCATGAAAAGGAGTCTAGAACGGTCCACACACCCGTCCAGAGAAGCCTCGGGGAGGTCTGCTGAAGAATAGAAACCTGAAGCCTGCGACACATGTAGATGATGTAAATTTACACAACCCACAAAGTCATGGTTCAGAAAACGCAAGCCAAGAAATTTATACAGAATCTGGTTGGATACGAGCCTGTGAATGCCCTGGGGCCCCATGGGCAGCAAGGGTCCTGAGGGAATACACTAGGCTGCTAGCGGTAGGCTGACACCAGGTAAGAGAGGCCTTGAGGCAGAAGGCCTTAAAAATAGCTCCAAGGTTTCTAAAGCGAGCAAGCATGTGGACAAATAAAAGCAACAGGGCAGCATTGACAAACTTAAATCAAATTGGGAGATATTCATAAATTTCTCCTTAATTGATAGATTAATAGGTAAAACATCATTAATATTTTAAAAATTTGACCATGTACCACGCATTAACAAACCTTAGTAAATTTTTAGAGAATTGATATCTCACAGGTCACATTCTCTGGTCAGTGAAATTAAATTAGAAATCAATTTTTAAAGTACATTAAAAACATACTTTTGGAAATTTAAAAACACCTAATTTTGGGGTCAAAGAAATATGAAAATAAAAAAGCACTGAGATATATTACAAGTACTACAAAATACTACCAATCAAAATTTGTGGGCTGTAGCTAAAGCAGTAGTTAGGAAAAAGTTATAGCCTTAAGAAGGCTGAAAAGACAATAATTGAGTTTCTAACTAAAACAGTCAGAAGAAAAATATATCCATGGACAGGAGATAAAAGGGATTAATAAGGATAAGAACATAAGGAATAAAATACAAAACATACATACAATAGGGTGGATCAATAAATCTATTGGTTCTGCAAAAACTGGTAAAAAAAAAAAAAAAGGCAAGCCTTTGGCAAGACCAATAAACAACAAAAAAAAAGAGAAACATGATAAATAATCAAAATTAGGAATGAAAATCAATATCAGGAATGAAGAGGTGGTGTAAATAGTGGTTAAATGTATGGGTTCTAGAGCCAGACTAGCTGGCTTGAATTGCAGCTCTGTGATTTACTAGCTGTGTGACCTGGGAAGAACTACCAAACCTCTCTGTGCCTCAGTTTCCTCATATGTAAAATGAAAATGATAACAATAGTACCTGTCTTTTAAAGTTGTTATAAGAAGTAAATAAATTAGTATTTGGCAAGTGCTCAGACTATTGCCTGGCAGTAGGAGGCACTATAAAGTGTTTGCTAAATAAGTAAAATAAATAAAAGGGGACTTAATTAGAGATGCAACAGAGATGAAAAGGATAAGAGGATATTTGGGAGGGCTTTATATTGTTTGAAAACTTAGCTAAAATGGACAAAATATAACTTTGAAACTGACACAAACAGAAATGGGAAATGGGGTTAAGTATTTGACCATTAGAGAAAGTGACTCGGTAGTCAACAGTATTCACCCACAGACACACACTCACACACCAGGATAAAATAGCTTTTTAAGCAAGCTCTATAAGCTTTTTAAGAAAAAGATGTTTAATTTTCACAAATTCTCCTAGAAAAGACAAAAAGTCAGAATACTTTCTAACTCATTTTATGAGGTTCATGTAAACCTGACACGAAAACCAGACAAGGCCCATATGACAAAGGAAAACTACAGGTCACCCTAACTCATAACCACAGATAAAAAATCCTAAACTAAATATTAGTGAACCAAACCTAGAAAAATGTAATGGTTTAACACGATAAAATCTATTAATGTAATCTACATTGATAAGTTAAAAAAAAGAAAATCCACAGAATCAAAATAGATTCAGGGCAAGCATTTAAGAAAATTTAACAGCCATTATTAGACAAAAATTTTCCTTAACCTTCTAAAGGGTATCTATAAAAATCTGCAACAAATATTATTTTCAACTGACAAAACCATGAAAGTATTTGCTTTAAAGTCACGATAAAGGCAGCAGGCCAAACACTTTGTCCTGAGCATCTTAAGCAATCAATGCAAGAAGAAAGAGGCGAGGACATGGAAGAAGAGTTGCAATAATTGAGGGAAAAAATCATTCTCCAAGAGAATCTATAGATAAACTCTTAGACCTAATATTCATCAACATCCCTTAATAAGCAAACATCAATACTATTCATATACACCAGCAGCAACCTGTTAGAAAACAATTTTTAAAAAAATTACATTCATCATCACAGCAAAAGCCATGGTGAAATAAACCTAACAAAAGATATACAAAATACTTTTGGAGAAAATTATGAAATGTTGAAAGATATAAAAGAAGACATCATAAATGTTTATGGATGAAAGACTCAGTATCATAAAGATGTCAGTCTCTTCACTCCCACCCCAATTACTCTACATGCTCAGTGTAAGTCTATGAAAAACTCCAAAGTTCCTATCATGGATCTTAGCTGATTCTCCAGTGCATAAGGAAGAGAAAAGAAGAATTTGGATTTTAAAGGAAAAAAGAAGTGATGAATTCATCTTATCTTATAGCAAAAGAAATTAAATCTGTAATAGTAAAACAGTGTAGAGCTGGTCTGAGAATGGACCAAATGAATGCCCAGAAACAGGCCTATAAGTGTTTGATTGACTAGGCATTTAAAATCAGGGAATAAAGGATGGTGTAGTCAATAAAAGGTGCCGGAACAATTGACTATCCCTGTGCGAGAAGAATTAAATTGGATCCCTACATGCTGCCACACACAAAAATAAACTTTATGATTTATAGTGCTTCAGAATGGGAGCTAAAGTACCAAGAACAAAGCTCAGGAAAGTGCAGTGTTATGAGATCAAATCTGGAGTCACATTCTCAAACAGGGGTCAATTACCAATTCAGTCTTCAGGAAGTTTTCTATTTTTTTAAACAACTATAGTACCATAGTTCAAGAAAGGTCCAGGCCTCTTGAGAAGGATCATTATGTAAAAACAATGGCAAAGAGCAGTCAGAGAAGAAGAATAAATGCATAATTTAAAGACAGTTCTGAAATTTGATAACTTGCTGTGAGGCAACCTGGATTCAGGTGATCACCGCTTCTGCATTAACATGTGAACATGACTAGTTAATGTGTGAATCAAATAAACTAAACTGCTATTACAAATTTTCAGATCAGACTTTCTCAGCAATGGTTCTCTCCACGCCCCCACCCCCACTTAAAAAAATATATCTTTATTGATTTCAGAGAGAGGAAGGGAGAGGGAGAGAGAGAGATAGAAACATTAACAATGAGAGAGTCGTCATTGATCGGCCGCATCCTGCACGCCCCCAACTGGGGATGGAGCCCGCAACCCGGGCCTGTGCCCTGACCGGGAATCGAACCTCCATCTCCTGGATCCTAGTTCGATGCTCAACCGCTGAGCCATGCTGGCTGGGCACAATGGTCCCCTTTTTGAGTTAAAACCCTTAAGTATTGTTTTCAAGCATATAAGAAAGTTTGCCACGTTTTGTAAAATAGTTCTTTATCTCCAATAAGCTAAGAGAATTGTTTGTTTTTGTTTGTTTCATAAGAACACTAGGATAACTCACAAGTCACCCAACAACTAAAGTGGCTTACAACTGATGAGTTTAGAATCACATTAGAAATACATAGGAAATGGAGTCATGAGTTTAAATCATTTAGTGTAAACTTGGATCATTAGACTTACCTTTGCTGCTAGGTGAAGTAAGAAGCAAAAAATTCCTTGCCAGCCACATACAGGGATATTAAAGGCAACCTGAAATCCAAGCACTGGCGTTTTTGTAAGGCTCCTTTGTTTCCTTAGTCTACCTACCTGAATATCCTGGCGATATTGGTGCAGAGATCCTTGTCACTCATGTACTGTCCCATCACCATGCAGAGCTGGGGAAGGGCGCCCATGCTCAGCAACTTGCATCTTGCTAGGGGTGAATCAACCAAGTTTCTCAATGTAGCAGTCATCTAGGATAAAAGCATGTTTGTGCCATGTTTTAAAAACTGGAAAAATACAGCAACACTAATCAGCACAGCACAGTTCATCCCATAAGTTTCATTACACAGGTTATGCATCTCCCATCAGAGGACATGGGCCTAGGCACAAAGAGAAGAAAAGGAAAACCGAGAAACAAATCCAAAGAAAACCTAGGTTGGTTCCAAAGTAAAGAATGAAATATTCATGTTAATGATCAATTAATATTCCAAAGCCCCAGGGTTACAGAAATCATCTGAGTTTGTCAACAGACTTAAGATCTTCAATGGACTCTGCAACGTGCCACATCAGCTCCACAGGAGTAGAAACGTCCTGTCCCATAGTCTTAGAAGTAGCACCAAAGAATGCTGTGGCCAAAGAACATTTAAGACCATTAGTTTCATTCATTCTCTTCTAAGGGGCAAGTATTGATTTCTTGCAGATTTGTCTTATTTTGTGAAAAATGTTCAGGAAAGCTATCTACTTTAGCCTCCGTCTCAAAGCGGAGAAGAGAACAACTTAGTAAATCCATAAAACTAGCATTGCTGTTATCTAATAATTTTAATACGCACTGTGATCTGTCCTCATAGGATAGGACAGGCGGGCTACTGGTTAAGAGAGTCACTCAGGAGTTGGACGGCCTGGTCAAGTCTGAACCCCACTGCTCACTAGCTTGGGTTAGTTAGTTAACCTCCCAGAGCACATTTTTTCTCATTGGTAAAGTGGGGGTGGTGATCACTGCCATGGAGCTGGGAGGCTCCGATGAGATGAGACGTGGGAATGGCATCGCCAGTGCCGATTACCTAACAATGGCTCCAAAATCCTGGGTCTCATCCCCACCTTTGTTGTGGGGACTTCACATCCAAAATACACTGGCCTTAGAGTCAAATGACAGAGTCTCATGTCCCAGGTCTCCTCCTAGGCATGTGACTGAGGCACTCGCTCTGTCTCAACCCCGTTTCCTCATGTGTGAAAAGGACGCGACAATCCCTGCTCACTTCGCAGGGTAGCTGTGCATCTCAAATGGAAAACATGGAACCAGGCTCCTGTGCACTGTGAAGAATTTGGTCAATCTAAAGCAGTGATTTCCAACCCTTTTCATCTCATGGCACACATAAACTAATTACTAAAATTCTGAGGCACACCAAAAATTTTATATTTTTTGCTGATCTGACCAAAAAATAGGTATAATTTTGATTCATTCACACCGGACAGCTATTGTTGTGTTAGCTGTTATAATTTTTTTTTGTTTGACAATCTAAGGGACTCTAAGTGGTCATGACTAATTAGTCAGGTATTGTATGTTTTAAAAATTCTCGAGGCCCACCAGCTGAAAATCGTTGATATAAAGCATCATTATAGCCATAGTTAGTACACTCTAAAAGCAGTTATTAAATGATATGTATCTTTGACTAGTTTTCTTTTATAACAACAGTAACAAAAAGATTTTGTTAAAATATAACTCTCTTGCCCGGCCGGGCGTGGCTCAGCAGTTGAGCATCGACCTAGGATCCAGGCGATTGGGGTTCGATTCCCGGTCAGGGCACATGCCCAGGTTGCGGGCTCAATCAATGACTCTCTCATCATTGATGTTTCTATCTCTCTCTCTCCCTCTCCTTTCCTCTCTCTGAAATCAATAAAGATATATTTAAAAAAAATTAAAATAAAAAAATAAAATAAAACTATCTTGAAAGCAGAAAAAATAAACATAATACTTCAAATATATATGTACAAGTCTTTTGTAGTCAATTGTACATGAATTCAGTACATGCTTCCCTAAAAGCTTCAGTATCCGGAACATTGGAGGAGAAGCGAACTCCGAGAGCATTCCGCTTAACCATGGCTCTGCGACTAGGCTCCTGGGCTGAGGAATGGGCCTTTGCGAAGGCTAACACACCACTCTCCGCAGCCCAGGCCTTTCCCGCCCGACAATGGAACAGTCTCGTCATCCGAGCCGGGCTCGACCTGTTCCCCTTCTTCAGAGGCAGCCCACACACTCCAGCAGGCGCTGCTGGCTTCCGTCCCTCCAGGGAGTGACTCGCAGGCGGTCCCTCTCAGACACCACAGGCGGCCCGTGCACCCTGCCCTGGGCCCAGGCTGCCAGAGCGCGTGGGGGCCTGTGGGGCACTCGTGCTGACCTGAGCCGCTGTGCACACAGGAACAGCTCCCCGCATCTAACCTCCAGCTGAACGCGCTGTTGGCAGATGGGGCGGTAGTTTTCTTAGAGCTTTTATTTCCTTGTTTCAACCTCAGTTCTTTCTCCATCAACCCTTTTTCTCACCACATTCGAAAAGGCGAAGACAGCTCAAGGGTTTTTTGCGCCTGAAATGCAACTTTTACAAATGGCCCCACTCAAGAGTGGAAGCACACAGTCAGATGTGAGGCGTCATCTGATTGCAAACCCCTGTGCGTTTACTGCAGTCTCACACCGTGTGCAAAGCCCATAGTCCGGTCAGATATGACCCCTCAAATAGTTCCATACTTGTCATTGTGATGCTGATGGAATAACACACGTGAAACATACCACACACTTGAAAAATACACAGGAACACCATCGACTCAGCTGCTCAAGTCCCAGACCTCAGAGACATCCCAGGAGTCTGCCTTTCTGTCACCCGAAGCTCTGCTGGCTTTTTGTCCATCGCTCTTAGGATAAGATTCTGTTTCCTGACCATGATTTACAAGGCCCAGTACAACCTGGCTCTTACCAACCCTTCAAACGTCCTCTCATACTATATACAAATTATTTCATATTAGGTTATTTAATATTAGGTCTTATTGCCTGTCTACTCCTCTGTACTAGAAGCATCAGTGAGGGCATATAGCTGTCTGTCTTTTCACCATTGTGCCGCCAGGCACCAATCCAGTGCCTGGCACACAGCGGGTCCTCAATGGGCATTTGTGAATGGAATGAATGGAAAGGTGAATATCTACAAAGGAAAGGCTTGGGTGTAAACAGAAGGGTTAGGATATCAGAAAACCATAGATTAATCAATATTTCTGAAGTAGATGCATTTTAAGATGGTTTTAAAGGAGAAGAGAAATAAAAAATAATGGATAAAAGGAAAATGGACTTCCTGGAGGGGGACTGGTCCTCGGTGTATGCCCTACACTATATCATTCATGACAGCAGCTCCTTTCTGGGCACCTAATGGCCTTCCTCCTTCCCCTTGCCTCACCCAATTAGTTATCTGGTCTACCTCTTCTTTCCAACACCAGGTTGCTGGTTCAGTTTGAGCTTCATCTCTTTCCTAAACTCTAGAGCTCACTGACAGGGCTCCTTCCAGTCTCCCCCTTGTTGGGTTCATCTCCCCACAGCGTCTCCCTGCTACCAGAGGGTGTATCTCAAGAGCCAACATTCCCTGCTCAAAGACCCCCTCTGACTTCTGGCGGCCTATTGGGCAAAATCCATATCCTAAAGGTGCTTCACTCTCTAAAGTGCAGTTCGCCCCTCCAGGCTCATCTCCTCCTGCTCCCGTGCATTGTTCAGACCTCGTCTGTTCACAATTTCAGCCTTTGGCTAGTCAATTGCCTCTGCCCAGAATGTCTTCCTCCACCACACTCCTGCGCCCTTTCTCCAACCTGCTCACCTCCTGTTCATTTTCCAGACCAACCTCAGGCTCACTTCCCCGCAAAGACGTTTCAGAGGTTGATCACTCCCTCTTCCAGGTTAACACACCATCCTGTCCATGCCCGCAGCGCACCCACCGCAGAATCATAGCTCCTTGTTTCAGGCACCTTCTCTCCCATGATGAGCTCCTCTAGGGTACAAACCGTTTATTGCTCCTCTTTCTACTTGGAGGACAATAAATATGCCCATGAAAAGCTGGCTGGATGAAACACAGAGGGAGAAGGGGGAGAAAGAGGAGAGGAGGTGAAGGACAGAAAGTAGGGGAGGAAGTGAAGGGCAAGGGAGAGGAAAAGGGAGGAGCCTCTGGTAAGAAAGCGCCTGGATTAGCAGAGGCCTGGTGGTAAACCAGAGTTTAACCCCCGAGGGAGGAGGGTTGGGAGGAGGTGACCAGGCATGTGCAACCATGAAGGCCCCCCATTCTGAGATGCTGGCTGTGACCCACCAGTCTCACTGTGGGGTGGGGTGAATGCTGAGCCCAGTCAAGTGGCTTTTTCTGGGAAAAAGATTCAGTGGGAGGAGAATCTAGCTAAATACTGTGATAACAGTAGAGGCAAAATCCAAGTCAACCCACTTAACTCTCAACCTCGTTCCAACTTTTAACAGAGATAAATTTGCAGAAATCATTAAACAGTCAAGAGTCATGTGTTCTGTAGCAGTCTTTGTTTTCTTGCCTCCAGGAAACCCACCCATTGGGCCTGCAGGAGATCACCAAAGCCCAAGCTTTATACTTAGAAAAATGTATCCATTTCTTTCTTAACTTACTATTCTAATTTATAGTGCTCCTGACTCTACTTGGTTGTGTACTTGTCCATTTTATTGTATATAATCTTTTAAACCATCTCAAATGCTTTATGAAAGAAAAAAAAAGAAGAAGAAGTGAAAGTTAGATGCCTACATAGATGCTTGGTTAGCTTCTAAAGGACTTAACTGGAACAATTCCCAACCTCTTATGTCATCTCATCAGGAACAAGAAAACTGAAACACATGAGTTTCAATTCTTATTTTTCCCATCTCCCAATGAGCAACCCCTTGGGACAGCTATACTGAGTCAGAAGGCAACCAGTGGGTAGAAGAAAACAGAGAAAAATGTGGAATTGATCATCCACAAAGAAGATTAATAAAATTTCAAGTGTCCTTGTTTAGTAGAAGTTATTAGATGATGTCTTGGACAAAAGGGGACTTAAGTTTTTGGTAAATATCAAGGAAAAAACATTCCAATGTGATTCTGGTTACTAATCTACTGCTGAGAAATGACTGAGCTACCCTCTACTACTGTGTGGTGCTCACTGTTTCTGAGGCAGCTGTTTCTTTCCATCTTTTCCCAGATTCCTTGATATAGGCGATACTAACCCTCCCCCCCCA